TTTTTTTTTTTTTTCAACGTTTATTTATTTTGGGGACAGAGAGAGACAGAGCATGAACGGGGGAGGGGCAGAGAGAGAGGGAGACACAGAATCGGAAACAGGCTCCAGGCTCTGAGCCATCAGCCCAGAGCCCGACGCGGGGCTCGAACTCACGGCCCGCGAGATCGTGACCTGAGCTGAAGTCGGACGCTTAACCGACTGCGCCACCCAGGCGCCCCTAACCTGTCTTTTGAGCACGGTCACATGGGCAGCCCACGCTGCTGCATCCCAGGCACTCAGAACACCTCCCACTGGTTCCCGGAATGGGCCACACACCTTACACCTCAGGGCCTTTGCATATGCCGTTCCCCCAACTCCTGTGCTCTTTTATCCCTGAGATGTTTTTAAACGCCTGAAGTTTGTTTCTTAATGATAAAGCCAACTTTTTGTAATTCAAAAGCAGTGAGTTCCGTTCCACGCCTCTAGGGGATGAGTCTTCCAAGAAAATCCCCACCGGCTCCTCGCAGGCCACTCCCCCTTGCCCCCCACCCCCTCCAGCCACAAACAAACCCCGAGAGTTTGGTCTTTAACTCTTGATTCTAAACCTCTGTAATTACTGTTTCTTCCAACCGAAATACTGTTCCCTGTCCTTCCAAAGACCAGCTTGTGCTCCTCCTTTCAGGGAGGGAACCTTCTCTGGCTTTCCCACCAGTTTCTGTATATCCTCCAAATTCTTTCTGGGCTATCATCATAGTCTGCAATTACCTTTTAAATTTTCCTTGGCAACTACTTGTATGTCTCCCCCCATCAGAACGTACTGTCTGAGGTGAGGGGCATGTCTGTCTCGTTTACCACAGTATTTCTAGGCCAGCATGCAGGAGGTGCTCCACAGGATACGTTAAAAACGAAACCACGGCAGGGGTGCCTGGGTGGCTCAGTGGGTTAAGCGTCCCACTGTGGCTCAGGCCATGATCTCACGAGTCGTGGGCTCGAGTGAGCCCCACATCAGGCTCTGGGCTGACAGCTCAGGGCCTGGAGTCTGCTTCAGATTCTGTGTCTCCTCTCTCTCTGCTCCTCCCCCCCCCCCCCCCCCCCCCCCCGCTCGCACTCCGACTCTCCCTCTCTCTCAAAAATAAACATTAAAAATTCCCACCCCCCCAAAAAATGAAACCATCGGGAATTTGTTTGGATTCACGGAATCAGAATGAGGTGGGCCAGCTCTATAATCTATAAGGTTCCGTTTCAGAAACATGGAAGAGGCCTGATTCTCTCATCTGCCTGGCAATGCATCCTCTCCCCCGGAAGTTCTTGCGTCGGCTTTCCCCACGCTTACCCCCAGGGCTCTTGTTATGTGCTTCCAGCCCCGACCCCTGGTAAAGTCTAGAACCATCTACCTTGTGAAACTCAGGGATCAGCGTGTTAGGTCACTACCCCTATCACTGGGTGAGCAGGTCTGTGTTCAAGGGTGAATGTTCTGCGGAATTATAGGAGGGGGGGCACTTCCGCAGCTGGCATCGCTCAGCACAGTGGACAGAAGGAACAACCCAGGCGCTAACAAATGTCCACTCGTTAGCAGGTCAGGTCAGTGCCCACTAGACAGAGGACGCTCATGGGGCTTTCTGAGCCAGGTGTTTGGCCAACATACTTATTACGTGCGTCCAGAAAGCATTCGTACTCGCTTCTCTCTCCGTGGAATTCAATTCCCCTGTTTAGTTTCTGCAAAATCCCTCCGGAAACAAAACTTGTCAGGTCACAGAAGCTCAGAGAGAAATCAAGGCAAATGCAGGGCTTAAGTCGAGCACCGAAAGAGGCTGAAACAAATAAAGAGCTATGTGTGAAGTATGGAGTTTATGTATCATGAGAATACGCTGGGAAATTATTTTCGGGGGGAAATAAACGGAGACGGGCAGGCGGCTTCCATCGGCTCATCGAAACCACCTCTGTGATCACAGGGGCTTGAGGTTCAGAGCTCAGTAGGCATAGCACTCTCTTCGGGCTTGTGGGGTCCCTGGGACTCTTTCTCTCCAATTCCATTTAAAACCCTCATGTTTTCTCACATTGTGTACAAAGCACGAATTGTCCCAAGAATATTCTAGGCTCTTTTATGAATCATTCTTTCACAGGAGCTTGTTGGCAACGTTTAAAATACAGTCCCTTCTGTTCCTAACGATCTCCAGCACCTTGCGTAACACCCGGCCCATCGCAAGTCTGGAATCTGCGCACTGAATGCATGAATGAGTAAGTGAATGAACGAAGGAACCAGCGGCTGCCCGGGAGGGGCCTCAATGTACCAAATGCCACGCCGCACAATGTGAAGCCTCCTGGGCAGGGGCTGTAAGGTCCTCAAGCACGAGCAGGAGGGAGTTTCAGAAAACAGGAAGGCGAGTCATGGCATCACACCGCGTGACATTTCAGCTCCATTTCACCCACTGAAACAGTAATTGGCTTGGGGCGCCTGGGTGGCTCTGTCGGTTAAGCCTCCGACTTCGGCTCAGGTCGTGATCTCGTGGTTTGCGGGTTCGAGCCCCGCATCGGGCTCTGGGCTGACGGCTCGGAGCCCGGAGCCCATTTCGGATTCTGTGTCTCCCTCTCCCTCCGCCCCTCCCCCCTCACGCTCTGTCTCTCTCTCTCTCCTTCAAAAATAAATAAACATCAAAAAAAATTGATACAATAACTGGCTTTCTGTAGCAGGCACGTCGGCAGACGGCCCGTCACTGAGCAGCACGTGTTGCAGCCTGAATCCCAGCCTACTCCATCCTGAGGCCCCAGAGGCTTCGGTTCCTCACAGGTCAAATGGGATCGTTGGTTGGAAGGACCGGGTCTGTTAATGCACGTGAAGGGTTTGTGGAGAAAAGGGGCAGGGGCACTGCGTTCACAGTCTCAAGCCCCTGGCTCAAATCCCAGCTCTGCTATTCTCTGTGCACTCCCGGAAACACCATGCCGTGTCCATTCGTTCGTTCAAACTCACCCCTTCATCCATTCATTCAACAAATATTCATTAAGCACCTACTGAGTGCAGCCTGCACCTCACCGAGGCACGAAAGAGTCAAGGACGCCTGGTCTGGAGCAAGCGGGGGAGAAGCAGGAACAAAACAGGCACCAGAGGTACGGGCTTGGCCTGCAGGGTGTCAGAGGCCGGCGGTGGAGACGCTACGGGAGGAGAAAGCTGGAGGCTGAGAGACCCGAAGGGGACGAGGAAGGAACCGAGGGGTTCTCGAGGGAAGGAGGCCCGGGCAGTAGGAGGGGCTGGAGCGAGGACCCCAAGGTGTGGCCTGAGTCCTCGAGGAAGGAGCCGGCGGGGACTACCGAGGACAGCAAGCACAGGGCAGTGACTGTTCTTGTTTGACCGAAACGGAGACTCAACGATTTTCACTTTTAAATGGGGACAGTCCTGGGCAAACCAAGCAAGATAGCCGGTCACCCCAGGAGAGGTTTGGGAGGTAACCAGCAGCCTAATCCTGTATGGCCCCGCGCGTGCCCTGAGGACTTTGGGGTGCCCCTGTGGGGTTCAATAAAAGGGTGATATGACCCAGTTAGCTGATAACAAGCTTGCCCTGGCTGCGGGGCTACGAGGGCAGACATAGGAGAAGCCTGCCCGGGGTACCACGGTGAGCCTGGCAGGTGCCACGGGTCGGACCGGCTGGCAGCTAAGGAGGAGGTGAGCGGGCATAGATTCTGTATCTATGTGCTGACAGAGCCGGGGGAACCAAGGGCAGAACCAAGGGCAGAACCAAGGCAGAGCATCTGTTCCGTATGGGCACCTTGTGTATCATCCCAACTCTCATCGGCTTTACAGGTGATAACACATGGGGGACACAGGAGGAAAATGAACTTGACCCGGTTTCCCTGGGATTGTCCCCCATTTTAAATCTGAAGTCATACATCCTGGGAACCACCCCCAGTCCCAGGCGAACCCAGACCGCTGGCCGACCCAGCACAGCGTAAGCCCCTGAGCCAAGAGGTACAGGTCAGGCCACACCAAACACCTGCTGAGCTGGCCTCATATCCTGTCTCTCCCAGTTGTTCAAGTGTGTCCGAGGGCTGAACAGGTCTTTCTCATGGCAATCACGATTTCCCTTCTCCTACTGAGTCGGTTCTCTGTGCCCAGGTGGGACCTGTAGTAGGTTGAATGATGGTCCCCAGAAGGGTCCACATCCTACTATCTAGACCCTAATCCAGACCCTGCGAATGTGACCTTGTTTGGGAAAAGGATCTTTGCAGATATAACTAAGGATCTCAAGATGAGACCATCCTGGATGGCCTAGGTAGGCCCTAAATCCAATGACAGGTGTCCTTATCCGAGAGAGAGGAGACACAGGGGGAGGCCACGGAAGATGGAGGCAGAGACTGGAGTGATGGGACCAAGGAAGCTCAGGGGCACGTACAGCCACCAGAAGCCGCAAAAGCCAAGGAAGTTTCCTCCCCAGGGGCTCCAGAGGGAGGACGGCCCCGCTGACACCTTCGGCCGCCATAGCAGTGAGGGAATAAATTTCTAATTCTTTAAGTTTGTGGTCAGTTGTCACCGCCCCTGCGGGAAACAAACACAGGGCCCGGTCCCAATGCCTCGCTCACTACAGCTGACACCAAAGCAAAGCGCATCCACCTACACTATGACGCACGCAGCGCTCCCCAGAGTGTCCCCGGCGGACAAAAACCTCTGTGTGCAGACGCACTGTCTCCACCAGAGCCCCTGCACACAAGCGGATTTAGGCTTCTCGCCAATTCTGTTCCCGGTGCACCTGCCACGACATCATGCTGCCCACACTACCCGTCAAAGTCAGTGTTTCCTCATATCTCACCAAACACACTGAGCACCACCCCAGGTGACAACGGCCCTGGGCACAAGGGAGAGACTTCGTGGGTTCCACAGCAGCACGAAAGTCCTGAGTGAGCAGGGACATGCCTGGGGCTGGGAGTCAGACGCCTGAACCCAGGACCCACCCGCCAGTGGGTCCTTTAACCACCCCCCACCCCCCAGCATCTGGTTTTCACACGAATGAGGGAGATACCAGAAAGCACAGGCTGAGCGCCTTGCTTGCCAGGGTCTCCACGGTTAAGTTTGAGGCAGGAGACAATCGTTCAGCTCTCCATACGAAGTTTCTGGCATGCAACATGTGGTGTTGACCCCAGAAAAATGCTTCAAGGAAACAGATATTTCCTACCGAGAGACAGTTCATCGACACTCGCGGTTACCTGTTCGGATGTCGTGGTTAACACCTTCCACGGAGATGATGGCATTGGGAATCCCTTTTCCGTGGGCGTCCCTCACCATGCCTTTGATGCCACGATGGACCTGCTCAGAAACACGACAGGAAATGGTGAGCTCACCACTCGCTCAACCCAACACGCACAGTGAAGACGGCTGTAAGCCGAATGCCAGCCCGGTGCCCCCAGGAAGCCTCTCAAAGCCGTATCTAGCTCGAAAGCTCCCTGGCTGTGCCTGGATTTGGTGTGCAAATTTCTGTATTCCTTTTGGGTCCATGTACTGGGAAGTCTTCCCCTGAAGTTCAATTATCCCAGAGGCTTAAAAAATTTTAGGATCTTAGATGGTTCATAAAAACCACACCCGGTAAAAATGGAATTTAATTTTTTAGAGGCACGTTTATTTGGGCTTCCCTAATCGATAATGACTTAATACATAGACCCAACGACGTAAGAGTCAGAGAGGAAAGAAGAGAGTCAAAGGCATTCCTATAATGACATTGACATTCCTACATGACATTCCTATAATGTCATATGTCCACAGGGCCCTTCTGCGGATTAGCTGTGTCACATGACATGTGTCACTCTGAAACTTGTACCTCAGTTTCCCCATCCGTAGAATGATGTGACAACCCAAGCCGGCATACCATCGTTTCCAATGACACTCTTTATACGTATTATTGTGCCTGTGCATTTTATCCACAGCAGGCACCTTGGCTACACAGGATTACTTCAGAATAACCAGAACCTTCTCTCCTTTCACAGATGAAATGAGAAAGAGCCTTCCCTCACAAAATGCCAGGGCACAGAGAGCGTTCACAGCTTTGCAAGACAGAACAGGCTCACACCCCCTGTGCCAGGCACTGGGGGCTGCACAGAGTCTCTGGGGACCCTGGTGGGGCAGACTGGGACGCTAGCCCTGCCTGAAAGTTTCTTCCCCCTCACCTACAACAACCCACAGGAAGGGCGGCCTCCGTGTGCAATCCTGCAAGCCTCAGGACCGTCCTTCCAAATGGATGAGGATCACGGCACAGTCACATAACTGACGCCCAGTGTTCGTTTTTGTTTATTCCTCTGGTTTCCGGTCAGTCTGTTCCTTAGTGGGGCGTGGATGTTAGTGGATTAGTTGTAGCACCAAACGAGAACTGGTTTACTCAGAGCTGCAAGAGGGGCGTGTCCCTGAGAGCAGGAGGAAGGGAAGGCGTGTGAGGTTCCCAGCGTGCACAGCGGGGCTTCCTCACCAGCCGCAAGCAGAACCCTGGCAGGTGCCTGTGACACCTGCTCCCAGGGAGCACCCCGTCACCTGCAGCACATGCGAGGGGCACAACTGTGTCCCCCCAAATTCCTGGTGAAGTCCTTACTCGCAGGAACTTAGAATGTGACTGTATTTGGAGACAGCGTCTTTGAAGATGTGATGACACTAAGGTGAGGTCACTGGGGTGGCTCTGACCTTCCCTTATAAGAAGAGGAAACGTGGACACACAGAGACCCCAGGAGTGTGTGTACACAGAGACCCCAGGAGTGTGTGTGCACAGACCACGTGAGGACCCTGGGAGAAGACGGCCACCTGCCAGCCAAGGAGAGTCCTCGGAATGAAACCAACCTGCTGACACCCTGATCTTGGACTTGCCTACCCTAGAACTGTAATTTCTGTTGCGTAAGCTCCCTGTGCGTCTATGCTTTTATGCGGCCCCACCAGACGAACACGAGGGGTCCGGGCACGCTGGCTCGGACACGTGTCACCCCTCCCTACAGGGCAGCATCCGGTCGCACTCGCTATGACCCAGTGCGGGCAATCGACATGGCCTTCACAGCTCACCTCGTGGGGCTGAATCAAGTGCAGACAGATGATGGTTCCCGCCAGCGCTGTTTGTGGCCGGCCCAGCATGACAGCCATCGTCCGAAGCGTGAACTCGGTCTCGGGCTTTCAGCCCCCTAACCGACCCCCGTCCTGAGCCGGCCCCCAGCACAGCGTGTCTCAGGCCATCCGTACCTGCTCCATGAACACGATTAAGGATTCCCGATTGTTCTCCCACTCCTCGGGCAGCTCGCTCTCGTGCGGATACTTGTCACAGCCCACGTAGATGGACAGCTCGAAGCAGTTTGTGTGAAGGTAGCTGAAGTCATTGAGACCTGCCGAGCGAACCGACACCATGGTCACTGAACGGTGCTCAGAGTGGCAGGAGGGAGACGGCAAGAACGTTCAAGAATGGGGCTCAGAAGACTCCATTTGAACAGGGACGTATCAAGCCCCTACTACAGACCACAGATGACAGCAAACGCGAGGGGAGGGGATGGAGGTAGAGGGGAGGACACGGCCGGGATGGTTTATGGGGAAGACAGGAATATACAGGAACATCTCTGACAAGAGGAGGACTCAGATTCTGTTTATTAAACTCAGAAATAGCTTAAGATACGATTTTTATGTTTTTTAAGTGTTTTTATTTTGAGACAGAGAGAGAGCGCTCACACACAGGCATGCATACACTCATGCTGATGGGGAGAGAGAGGGAGAGAGAGGAGGGAGAGGGAAGAGAGAGAGGAGGAGAGAGAGAGAGAGAGAGAGAGAGAGAATCCTGCCAGTCTACACACACTCCCAGCACAGGAGCCCAATGGGCCTAATCAATGATCAGAGATCATGACCTGAGCCGAAATCAAGAGTCGGGATGCTTCAAAGCCCCTCAGCCTATTTCCAGGAACAATAGCATAGTTTTGTGACATACCGTAACAAAGCACATGAGTTAACAAATAAGGCTCCCTAAGCGTTTAAGTTTCTCTCACGTTAGCTGCCCAGCCGGGCCACGGCCTGGCAAATCCACGCCGCCACCAACAGCTATCCTACAAATCCCTTTAAGCGAGTGCCACTTATGCGACCGGCCGCACCTGCACCGCCAATGCCCGCAGGAGGCACAGCACACCGGCATGCTGGCACGAGAAGTACAGCCATGAAAATGCATGCAGTGACCTGGTGTTCGGTGCCATTGTGGTCAGGCTAAAACCGTGATGGCGAAGACCTTGCTCTTATAAATGACTGTTTGGTACACTAGATGCGAGTTAGATTCAGAGGGGATAGAGAACCATCTTCACTACTGGTATCTGCCGAGCACACACGCGGAAACAGTCCATCAAATCAGCGCACAGCCCCATCAAAACTGGGGGGCTTAACAGTCAATATCCTCCTGCTACTTAGAGGCTGGAAGTCCAAAATCGAGTAGGGTTGGTGGGCTGTGCCTCCCAAGTCTCTAAGGGAGGAAACTTCTGGCTCTAGCTTCTGGTGGCCCCGCTTGTGGCCATGTCACCAATCTCTGCCTCTGTCTTCACATGGCCTTCTCTGCTGTGTCTTCTTCTGTCCCTTTTTGCGAGACATTTCTATCGACGATTTAGGGCCCACTCATCCAGGTAACCTGACCCCACCCAGAGACTTTCTAACCATCACATCCCAAAGACCCAGTCTCAAAGAGGTCAAGTCACAGGTTCCAGCGGCTAGGAAGCAGGCTTACTGGGTGGGGAGAGGGGTCACGACCACCACCACAGCACCCAATATTTGTAAAAGTGAACCAAGTGAATGTTAGGGGCATTTTCCAACATTTTGTCTTGGGGGAACAGGGTGATCAGGGAAGGACAGGGCTATGACCTGTGTGACCCCAGGTGGCACACGCCCAGCAGGGGAGGCCTCAAATGAGCTCCCTGGCCATGACTACAGATCAGAGGTCGGCACTGCTTCTACAGTGACTGAGCCAGCGGAGCAGTCCTGCTGTCAACCAGCCTTTGAAGCTGGCCTTCCCTCCTCCCGCTACTTCTCCTCACTGCCTGTCACGCCAGTAGAAGACCGATTAAAAGTCGGGGCCCTGCAGGCATCGAATCTGCCTAATCGATTACCTGGCCACAGCCCAAAACGCACTCAGACCCAGCCACTCTCCTCCTGTGGGTTCCCAGACGAACCGTCACGTGTCACCAGATTAGCTTCTGACCACATTTGTGAGAACGGTGACAGGGACAGAGAGCTGAGGCATGGAAGAGGTACCCGCAGCCACATTAACGAACATCCTTCGGGGCCTGCCCTGCTGGGAGAGGTTGGGTCAAAACGCCACATCGACTCATTCACCAACCCGGCGTGTGGAGTTACAAAGAGGCACAGCAGGCCTGATTAATGCCATGTTCCCCTGGTCAGCACAGGAGACACGCCAGAGATGCGTTTCAGCACGCAACATTTCTTTTCATTACCCCATCTTTGAAGCCTCCTTGTTGGTACAGAATCAGTGCCACGTACGAACTCTGGAGGGAAGTCTGCCAATTCTTTGCACGTGCCTCTAAGCACCCCTAGGTGCCAGCAGAGTCGGTGGGAGATGCTGAACGGCCAGGAGAAGGTGCAAAGTTGAACCTGGCCACCCTGGCTGCCAAGTAATGTGAGCTGAGAATACTCCTGAGGAATGGCTTTTGAAAGAACATGTGGGCAAGGAGCTGGGGGGGCATGACCCACACAGTCCCCACAAACCCCGTGTTCCTCAAGCCTCGGTGGGTGAGATGCTCCTTGTGAACCCACACGTTTTTTCTACGTGGAGCATACGGAGTCAAGGTGTCCTCAGAGGTCTGTAGCTAACCTGCCCTCGGCCCTCATCGGGGCAGGGGAGGCAAGATGGCAGCCTAGGGAACAAAGGCTCTTGACACGCTTCTGGACTGAAACACACACACACACACACACACACACACACACACACACACACACACACCACGTTTATGTGTGTCTCCCCGGTTTTGCTTCCTCCACCTCCCATCTCCTCACACACTAATGCCTGTCAACAATGAGTGAAGATCCTAATGTGTGCTTGGAGGAGGTGAGGGGAGGAAGGAAATTAGAAGTCACATTGAATTCCACAGCTAGATAAGAACTCAGCACACTTCCCCCACACCACGATAGGATGAAGGTTCGAGTCACCACGTAATTGCACACAAGTCCTCTGAAAAGAATGGAAAATCTAGAACTGATAGGGGAAAAAAGCAAATGCTGCTCTGTGGGATATGCCAGCTTTTCTAAACGATTCATGGATTCATAACAAACCGGCCGTGTTCTAAAGCTTGATTTAATAATGTAAGAGTCATGAAAAATAAAACAGATACTTGCATGAAGGTGGCTGTGGGTTTCGGGGCTAGAATTGGAAAAAGCAAGAATGCTCAGGTCACAGAAGGTTATTCTTGCTCGACAGGGGATCTGCCTATGCTTTTTATTCTGTGTAGGTAAAAAACTATGATGGGGATAAATAAAATAGCTCTTGTGGGGAGGCATGAAAAGAAATGCAAAGATTTCAAATTCCAAGGTAAAGTGGCCAGAACAAATCTATTTATACTACTTGGAATTTTCTTTTCCCAAGCACGGACACAGAAAAAAGTACGTGAAGGCTGGATACGGTGAGTCGACGCCGCGCGCGGCGCTTCTGATCGCTTACCGCACCCACACTCGGCATTACCCCTCATCGCTGAAAGCTCCTCACAACAGCCCCAAAGGGCCTATCACTATCGTGCTCATTTCACAAATGGGAAATGGGGGGTCAGAGAGGGAAAGTAACTTGCCGGTCACACAAGTATCTGATGAAATGAATAAATCCAGGTCCACTCTACTACGGGATATTTTTCACCATCACTAATTCACCTCCCCAGAGTCAAGAAAATAGGCAATGACCATTCTGCTGGGGGGTCTCCGCCATATCCAAAGCTGAGGGGACCTAGGGAATGTATCCCTCACCTCTTCCACATTCTTGGGAGTCAGCAGCCTGGCCAGTAAAGAGCTATCCTGAAATTGCATGTCCTCTGGGACTGATGTGAAGGAATTCTCTCAGAGTCCCTTCTGGAAGCTTTCTGGTCCTGTGTGATGCTGTAGCTGGCCACTACCTATTCCTGCATCGTATGCAGCTGGCTGACCAAAGGCTCTTGTTGTGCCTGGGAGGCTGGTCTACTGACCTCCAGAGACAGGAGATTTGTGAAACAGCGATCACAACGTCAGGCCTGGAGGAAACACCTGCATGTGGAGTCGCTTACCCTCTGAGTATGTGGATCACCCACTGCCTCCCTCCTGTACCCACTGCAGGGGACGCCCCACTGTCAGCCTGGTGCCACCACTTGCCTCGTGCCAACACCAGCGCATGTCTGTCCCTGGCCGGGTGCCTTTGGTCCATCTCATCCAGTGTAGCTTGCTCATCTCTGACCCCCCCACAGAACTTAATAGCTCAGGAGCTACGAAAATACGGCCAAACAGAGATCCTCAGAGTCACAGGCCCCGGCTGTCTCATTCATAGTGGGGGGAGTAGCCACAGCCCCCAAGACCACTGGAAGGGATTTGTTGTGCCTGACGAGAGTGCTGGTACCCCTGTAGATGGCGATTCACGGTCGCTATTATACCCAGGACAAGTGATAAGGGAGGGCTGGGAGGCTGCCTCGTCCCTCCTCCCTGTCCTGCCTGGGTGACGGCTGTATAGGCCGGGCCAGAGATTACTTCCCGCACCAACGGCAGTGCCAGGAGGCCCCAAGTCCGGCCTCTTTTTCTGGAAGCTTCCTGTGGCACACCTCCTGGCGCTGCCAAGTGAGGCTAAAAAAAAGCGGAGGCGAGGAGGTGGGCCAGCCAGCTGAACACGTGGTCGCCGGGCGTGGGGCCAAGCTCCGCCCTCCACAGGGACCATGTCGGGGGGGGTGCCACCACCAGCTCAAGCCGCCCTGCAGGTTCCCACCCAGCACCTAAGGGGTCTTTCTCCATCCAGGCTATGAGTGCCCTGTCTCCACACCTGTAGAACAGGGCGAATTACACGGGCCAGCAGGACGGGGCTTTCTTCCCTACCTCCAAATCTGGGACACAGGAGAGCAAACTGCTTTCATGAACACTTTAAGCAAAACGAGAATTTCAAAAATTCGTCCGGGAAGACCCGAAGTTTTGTGGAAATCGGACATACAAAAAAGATAAATGAGGGAAGTTTTCTTTTGGTAGGAATATACCCAGTGCTGAGTGCCGAGGGAAAGACAGAGTTAGATTATCAATCACTGGCAAGTCCCATGAGCGGCCAGGGATGTTCATCCACGGCCGCGAAAGCACAGAGAGAAAGAGAAAGCCACAGTTCGTCCGAGGGAAGAAACACCTAAGAGAGAACATCAACCCACATGACCAAGCCCCATCCAGGGGCCGGCAGCCATTCCTGTAACAGACCATATGGAAATGCTTGGGTTTGAGGTTTCGTATTCTGTCCTGATACTCAACCTGTCCTTTGTAGCTGAAGCACCAGAGACTTGATACGAGATAGAACGCGGGCTGTGTTCCAATAAAACACAAACACTTACAAACAAAATAAGAGGCCCACCTACGGCTGTAGTTCACCAAACTTCTGTTCTCAGGGAGCCTGGTCTCTGACCTCTGCCAGTTTAATAAGAAAGCAGAGAAGAAGAGGTTACGTGATGCAGGTATTCAGTCAGCACCCAGGCAGTGGAAAGGCTGGCAGATGATGGAATCTGTTTATTATAATGAAGTTGTTAGAAGAGAAGCAAAGGGCAAGAGGATAAAGACAGTGTTTTCTAAATGGCAGAAACCCCAGGGAGACGGAGGAGACGCAGCCCTCAATCACGATGAGGGCCTCTGAAGCGGCGCACGAAAACGCGCAGAAAGTTAAGCCAATGATAACAG